TATCATATCATATATGACGTATTAGGCACTTGATGAGTTGCCGAAAAAAACTTGTTCGCTAAACTGAGTTTCTTATTCCTGGAATCTCACAAGAGGAAAATAACTATTGTCGCTGAAACCGATCGACACATTAGAGAAATGGTATCAGGTGATACTTAGTGGTTTATTCGTTATGTGGTCGGTCGAACGAGAACTTTAATTTTGCACAGTTTATGTAAACGATTCCGTTGGTGAAGTCTGTTTATAGGTAGGCAGATTCTTACATTTAAGGTGGTTACATGCTGCGTATAACAATGTTTTCTTTTTCAGTTCATGTAGCCCTGAGGTTTGTTGGTTTTACGGATCACACCAATTTTCGTGCACAGACAACTACGAAACGCCACCAAATCCCGATGTGGAATACATTCCAAAGTAAATTATTAACTCTATCCCAGGGTAGAAAACACCAACTTTTTTGTCTGGTTGATAAAGTGACGGGCTTGATGTTCGATGAGAATGACCTCATCATGCAAATCGAAACGTGTATACGACCAACTTAAGTGAAAATCTGAGCGATTGTGAGAAGATCGGCATATAACTAGAGTGTATACAACATTTGATGGATCCATCGGAGTGTAGTGGACTCATCATACACCCAAGACTAGAAAATATGTGCCTGAATTCTGAAGACAGTTATCAATCCACATAGTGCAGGCTTATGAAGGGTGGAAAGAGATAGATTTAGAGATAAGAGCATGTGTACTTAAATTCAGTCAAAACGACAAGTTTATCGGTCATATTAAACATGCAATGAGGGAGAAGAGTATTGTGTGCGAGTCAGAACGGATAAAGAGTAACTGCATCGGAAAATTTGCGCTGATCATATATTTATCGAACTAATGAAAATCACTCAATCGTCTGATCTGAGGTAGACCAGCTTGAACTGAAGTTTCAATGGCGCACTCATCTTTACCCCGTAGAATACGGAAGAATCCATCTTCACCCCAATCGGTGTTCCACGAATTGGCCACTATCCAGTAAGGCACGCCGTATTGTTCGCCCCAACCGACAATGCGAATCGCATGCGAACCGACATAGTAGTGCACGGTGTGATGATAGATACCGGAGTGATAGTTGGCGAAATCTGCGAATACACTCATTGAAGCCTGAACGGGACCGTTGAGCAGAATCTCTTGTCGAATTTGCTTCTCGTCTGTAGCCACGTAGTAGAATGACTTGCCTGATCGCGGGTCAATCGAAAGTAAGGTAAACAATTAGGGATGAATCAAGCTTTGCATTGAAATGTGCTCAAACGATTTAAATGGGTTTCATTGTTTTTGCCCCGGGATCGACATACCAATTGGCATACCTTATCAGCGCCACCCACCTCTGGTGGAAGAAATCTGAGTTATCAGCTACCCCATTCCAAGCTCAGCCTGACGGGTACCTTATTTAGTTTGCCACTTAGAGTTCTTGGGCTTCGATCACTGGTTCCTTTGATAGATGTTCCCTCTGTACCTTTTCAACTTCAAGTGAATCCTTGTGACTTCAGGTGACTTCGCTGTAACTTTCCCGGTGACATGGTCCTTTTAACACACCCCTTTCGCGTTCCCCTGTTTTAATGTATTTTCCTCTTATCATATGCCATACGGCTTTTATGCTTTTTATTTTGAGATATAGTATGCGACGAAGCTGAGTAACAAAGGGAGAAGCTGCAAGTGACAGGTTGTTGCCATTGGCAGTCTGGACAGAACGTAATACTCAATCGGGAAGTTACAGAGAAAACAAATGTAATTTCCGTGCTGATAAACGCTGTGTCCCTGCAATAAATCTGATTTGAGAGATGCAAACAGGCTTACACCATGGAGGTAACTGTTACCCACGTAGGAGAAAGTAGTGATCAATATTAAGACAACCTTGGGTCGAATACAGTGCTTACCTCTACTGAATATCCATTGAAGCACCCGGTACAGGCTATCTTCCTTTGAAAAATCATGGACAACAGTGAGTTATTCTTACCACCACAGGTCCCACTCGTTGAACTATAAGGACGGCACAGATGTAATCACGCTGTGAAAAGATACCACGTGGATGACAAGTGATGCAACGAGGATGGCAAAATATGTGACGAGGCTGTGTAACAAAGGGAGAAACTGTAGGTGATAGGTTGTTGCCATTGGCATTCTGGATAGAACGCAATAGTCATTCCGGGAGTTACAGAGAAATAAAGTCATTTCTGTTGGCTAGTGAATGAGTTCAAAGTTAATCTTGCTATTCAGGTGAAATACTGTTAATTCTCTTGTTGTATCCTTCTACCATTGTTAAGTATATTATCAAGTGTGTCAAGTGGGTAGGCAACTGCATTTGACTCAAAGGAATCGGTGTTATACTAAGTGATCTCTGTCTCGATAGAATTTATTCATCAGGCTACTGAGGGCCTAGACTGAACCCCGTCATGCAATGAGTCATACCAACGCGTGACCAGGTTGACCGATCCATAGAATCATTTTGATATGATTCGCTTCCAGACTCGGACGACCGAGGCCTCGTACCACAGTTTTTTCATTCTCATCTAAATTTACCACGATCAACGGTGAAGGAGTAGTTGGGCGGGGGTGACGAACTGTCAAACCCCACCCTGCCGAAACGTTCATCCTCACTTGGTAACTCACTCAAAAAGTGCTTTTGTTTGTCTATGGATGTTAACATCCCACCGATGAGTAGAAAAACTCACCAAAATATTTGTCCTTTTCATATGTTCCATTATATCCTTGCACACAAGTCTGCTGGCACTCGGGAGTGTCGTAAGGCTCCCTGGGGCATGGAGGAAATAAATTTCTGGGCGACTGGAACGGATTCGGTTCTCGACTGCATGCTGGGAATGGGTAGGGTTGGCATCCCTCTTTGTCTTCATATGTGCCACCAGTAACAATCCCTTTGGTTATCCAATAGTCCCATGCTCTTCGCGAATAGCCACCGTCGCACCCGGCTCCACAATAATCGCAACAGCTAACTACATCACGAACGCTCAAATCCACATTCACAGTTCCATTTGAATGAATGCACAGGCGATCGCTCATAACTCCAGTCGTGGCGAAAGCCTGCACGAATGATTTGTAGAAACACGACATTCAGTGTACACCCTGAGCCAATTTGAACAATCTCCTGAAAACTAAATGAGCTTAGAGTGGACATAAATCATCCCGGGTAACATTGATAACTACTAACTGGGAAGTTCGTTATGGAGATAAATTAAACCACCATACGCCGTGATTAGTTTCACCACGAGTTATTCGGTTTACCCTCTAATAAGGTCAATGAAAAATAGCAGTAGAATAATAATGAATGAAATCAGGGGGAAACGAGTATTTCCAAAAGCACGAAGTTGACGGTTGTTCCACTGTACTCAATCCACATGGTGATTACAGATTATCTGATGACATAAAACAAAAGTGTTGATCAGTCACTTTCAGAATTAAATTTAAAAACATTTTTAAGTTAGGAAAGCCAAAAGGTCAATGGCGTTACTAGAGTAATTCATGATATACAACATAGAAAGTCGTTGTCCGAGTTTGTATAAGTGACCATAGCTGAAATATTTTTTGAATGATAACCTGGGTCGGCTTTTTCGAAATGTGATCAGATTGGCGTATCAGGTAGGTCAAAGTTTGATTCAAAGCTCTTTCTAAATAAAATCAAGTTTACTTCGGGCATGATGACATAAGTCGAATATAATTTCGACACATCACAATGCATGTTTTCATACATAAGGTAAAATGCGTGCTGTATAAAAACAGAGCAAGTACTATTTGGAAATAAGTTTGAGGAAGATATGAGCTTGATAGGGAAACCCACAATTCGATGTGGTGCGCAAGTACAAGTAAGTGAAAATAGTTCATTTGAGGAATCGAAAACCGTTCCTGACTGTAACCGCGTATTGATGAGTATCTCATATAACACACATTGTACAAAAGTCTTAGCAACAATAAAAAATAATGTTTTAAACGAATTAAGACATTTTTACTCTGGGGTAATTATATGCCCCGTAAACACCTGTTCAGAAACAGGGTAAGCTTGAAGCANTATATATATATATATATATATATATATATATATATATATATATATATATCAACTTGACTGACGTGCTTGATGAACGCACATAAACAGCTTTGAACCATTATATCATCAGACAGAGGCTGATGCGGGTTCATTTTTGGATACTATAATTTACTGAGGGGGATTACGAATTATCGCACATTTAGAATTGTTCTAGTAACAGATGATTTTTTTGAACGAATCAAGGTGGCACTGAGGCTTGTTTTATTTCAGAGTGTCGATACTAAATCTAGATTCGTGGTTATTTTGAAGTCATGAACGTTGTGTTGTGTAGTATGGACCAGAACTTTTAACCCCCATCATCCCAGGGCTTCAATGGTAGTAACGCCGGTTATCAAGCATATAGTAGGATAGAACAGACACGCTGTATTTTAAGCTTCTGTCAGTGACAATTCAAAAGGTTGACTGAGACAGATTATTCCGTTTTCCGACAAGTGACTGGCAGATCTGGTGTCCGAAATGAATAGCAGCACGTTCAGCTATAGCAACGTGCCGCCGGAACTCAGCAAATTCGTCAATAAGCCTTTAAAACAGCCAGCTCATCAGTGTTTGTACACAGTTGACAAGATGACCACGAAAAAGTTGAATTCAACATGCCCTGCGATCACGATACTTGTTCCTGATCTCATGAAAACTTTGAAGGAAGTCGGTCGCATTACATTTGATGGTAATTTAATTAACTTACCCAACACGAGCCACATCGAGACTGATCTCGAATTTTGCTGATTGTTTTGCAGTGTGGCCACACCTTCCGAGCATCAAATTCATCTGGCAGTTCAATGTTTGATAAATCACGTGTAATGGTAGACCATCTTTCAGCCGGAGAATTAGCTGGTTCGGCTCGTTCGCCAAGGACCTCGCGCAAGTCATTGATATTTTGGAAGCGGCTACTCTGAGATGCCTTCCAAAGTATATCAGGCTAAGAGAAGTAGAGATGTAATATACGTATTTATCTCCAGTGAGTTACTTATTTTACATAGCTGTCATGTAAACTAGAAGTGCAGTTAAAGTGACTTTATTTTACACACCAGTGAAAGCAAATAAGGACCTTTCTACATATATCCTAACGCTGCACAGTCACGAAACTGCCCGCATTGCCTTTGACGGTATTTTTCGTTGGACAGTCTACTTTTTCACAAGAGTTGTACCCTGTGAATGGGTGATTGTAAATAACGCTGTACCAGCCTGCATATCCTGTGTAAATCAGTCCCTACCGGTAGATCAAAAACGAACGCCAACTGATTATCGCTAGGTGGCGTTTAATCGACCTCAATCTTTTGCACACATTCAAAACAAGTAATAAGTAACAAAAACTTGACTAAACTCGATAACTTCCGTTCTGTAAAGCATTTTGTTTTCGCTACACACCAGGTGTGCTGGCACAGAAATTATTGAAAAGCTATGGTTTATTGATTTCACCATTCCTGACCAAATACCAATACAAATTTTTCAATTACATTTGCAGTGAGCTGTACTCCGACATGATTATATCACAGACTATCGTCATCCACTCCACGAAGGGAGGCGCCTTTGTGTTCACGTTGGCGATAGATAATATTCTATTTCAATTCAAAGGCCCACAAATTGGTTTCTCCACCGGCAAACGGCCTCAGATAAACGTTCAATTGGAAACGGAGGTCTTGCGCTCTGATACTGTCAATCGTCGGATGTCAACTGGAGGTAGTCAGCGCTTTTGGCACATACCCACACACTCTCTTCCTACAAATGCGTTTTTTAGAGCCTGGCTATTAGAGGTACTGTTACACTGGAAACGCGGATATTTTCACACGTAAAATTGGGCAATAAAACAATGAAGCAACTCAGGGTGTTTTAGGCTTCAATATTTATTCAAGTGGAGATACAGTGAACAAATAAACAATAAATGGAATCAAAAGATTTCGACACTTGTGAAATGAAAATAATTGGAACACATTGACAAAGCATCGAATGATCATGGAACCTTTCAAGGACATTGCGTATCAATGGGCAGTAAACGAAGGTTTCAAGAACCAAAATGCTGGCAACACTGTAAAACAACCAAACCAGAAAATATTATTTTGGCTTTATGAGGTAAATGCAAAATGCTAGCGTGAAAATTCGGAGTTCAGTGGGATTCACGCACAGTTTCTAAACGAAGCGATCTGACTCTGGCTTTATCTTTTGATGATTTTATGGCAAAATGTATCACAAACAGCAGCTGCATACTGGGCTTAGTGAAACCGTTTCTCCCGGACAAACGCTTCCGGTTTTCCACTAGTTATCCTCTATTTATTACATATATATAAATATTTTGTGCATAAAACGTTGTGGTATTCAATTTTTCCCAATGAAGGTGGCTGTGGACGGGTAACATTCGGCGGAAGGGATTTGATGCATCCGTAGTTTTTCATGTGTGAACCACCACTGTCTTATGCTTACCAACTCAGAAATGCAACAATTTCCTAATTGTAATTTATGTAGCCAGTTGCTATGGCTCATACAATCAAATTGTTCATTTTAAGACTTGACCAACTCTACAACATTGGTCATTAGGATGATCATACGAAGTACCAGAGTACATCAAATTTATGAATTTTGGAATAATTTTCAGTGCATAGGATGTGCTTTACTTAGTTGCAAGAGGTATGATAGTATATAATGAATGTAACTATGTATAGGGCAATAGTGTTGAGTATACTTGTTGAAACGTGATTGGGTGCAATCGTATCTACCAAACTGAGGAACAAACTCGGGACCTCCTGAGTAGAATGCTAGCATACTACCCACACGATCACCGGATGGCTGCTGATCTACTACTTGTCTATGGTGCAACCCATCTTCACGAGCATGATGCTCATATCAAGGCTATGGCCTCGAAGGGCAGAAATCGATTGGAAATATTCTGAACCTGACTACATGTGCAGTTCTGTTATCCGATGTGCAACTTCTCCGAAATAAATGTTTTTTATACTACTGCGAAAAGGATATCGCAATTCACAGCCAACAAATCTAGTGAGCAATATTTTACTTATTTGATTATCGTTCGGTAAACTGATTTATACGGATGATTAGGCTTCTGCAAGGTAGGCGAAAAACCTGAAAGCCTAATTTCAGTAGAGATAAAACAAAAACAAAGCCAACATCAACTGTTCTCAGGCTGTTTTTTTACGCACAAAAACATCTACTAGATTTTCTTATTTTTCATCCCTATTTTGTAATATGCTTAACAAGAAAACGTTTCTACCGCTATTCACATCGGTGTACTACATCAAAATTCATCTTCGAAATATAAAAATTCCAGAATTCTGTTTTCATGTAAGCACTACACGAGTATTATCATACTCCGTTTGGAAAACCCCATCCCCAAAAATAGTTTCCCACTATTTTCCCGCTGATGCATCAGCTTTCAAGAACTGTTTCACTTTTTACAGATTTCCCTCGGTCGGTGATGCTATCAAACTTGTTATCCATGAACAGAGAAGAGAACGTGAACACGAGAAATTGACTAACTGCAAAACGGAAAATCGCTTGGCGGTGGTGTGTAAATATCTTTCATACCGTGGTTTTTTCACAACTCTTTAGTACGGACGGTATGCAACTTCGATCGAGCACGATTTTAAGGCTGAAATAACTTTGCTACAATCCACCTGATGCCCAAGTTAACAAGCGATTGTAGGATGTTATTAGGATGCTCTTAGAATATTGTCACATGTAAATTAACTAGACGATTTTGCTTCACGAAGAAGAACTCATCCGAACAGTGACTGGATGTTTACAGAAGGCAGCATTTGTGCTCTTTAGGTGATGTTATCGTGGGATATGCTTGTTTTACTTTATTTTATGGCAATTTGACTGAATGGAATACTTTCGCAAACGAACAGTCTTGAGAAATGAACAAAGAAACAATGCGAATACAAATGTGTCAACTCAGTACGAGCTATAACAAACAATTCACATCGTTTTATCAGTTTAGAAACAATCGTATTTCCGAGAATCTGCCACGATCCTTATTATTTGTGCATGATTCCAATTGCGTATTCATTCTACTATCAACATCCGAGTGTTCCTAAATGTGTTCATGTTTTCCTGCACTCTTACTTACCTTTTTATTGATATAATGAATCAGTTCATTGGTGAACGGTTCCGGAGGATGCCATTCCTCCAAACTGTTTGCGTTGCACAACTGGATTGAAATGAACAATAGTACACTAATGTAGCACATGCTAGTGTGTCTCGTATGCCTTTCTACACGTTGTATGTGGTTCCGGGTGTTAATATTCCATCGCCGTCTTTGATTAGACCAGTCCAAAGTTCAGTGCATTGCCTCTGACGAAAATGAACAAACTCTAGATAGGTGGTTTGTGAGTCGTGTGTGTGCGTAGATGTGTTCAACCATTATCGTTTGGAAGTTCACTCGATTGGATGAGCGCCGAGGGTGAATAAACTTTGATCATTGTGAGAAACAACAACCACACCCTATGTCGGAACTACAAACGGCTGTACTCCTCCGTCACTGGTCACTCCCGTTCAAAGAACTAGATTTACCATACCACTTTAGAGGATTCCAACATAGTGTTGATGAAACCAATATTTTCCATGGAATCCATTTGCCTGGGTAAATTCTGTTAACTTGTCGCATAGACAGATAACAGCCGAGGACCTACATCTGTTTGCAAAGAGATACGGGCCTTACCACATCTAACCCACGAATGAGGAACATCGAACTACTGTATGTGAAAACCTGTTGTGCATTGTACTAAAGAAGGTGCATCCTATAGTATAGATAATTGTTTGTATTTACGTTGCCCATAGAATGCGATTTCAAATTGAAATTAAAATTTTTTTATGGGTAAATAACAAAGCTGATGCTCATTGAATCCCATGGAGTCTGTACACACTGCGTTCGGTTGGTAGTAAAATTGAATAGCAAATTCTGACTTTCACTCGCCGGTACTCAAATGTTAGGTGGTTCAATGCTTCATCCAGTCTTGACTTGAATGAATCGATGTTTGGTGCACAAACAACTTAAGGTGGAAGAGAGTTTCAGGTGTTACGAACTCTGAGGCTGAAAGAATGACGCCTGCAGTCGAGCCGGCTCTTTTGGAGCAGAAGTTTAAATGAGTGTCCTCGGAGGTGACTATTCCTAGATAGCGTCACTAGAGTACTACACGGGTGGTTAGGTTAATGTAGTATTTGATAAACGAGGATCATGTCTCCCCGTATTCGACGGTATTGGGACGAATAAAGTCCGAGAATTCCCAGTCTTTCACCGTAGGTCTTAGATTGTAACCCGTTGACCATTTTGGTTGCTGTTCTCAGCGGACGTTCAAGTGCCTTTTGGTCGCGAATAAGCGATGGATTCCAAGCCTGTATAGCATACTCGATATGTGGTCTAATGTATGCTGATAATAAACGGGGCAATACGTCTGTTTCGAATGATCCAAAAACTCATTTTAGTAATCCAACGCGTTTTATAGCCTTTGAAGAAACTCTTGCGCTGTGTGTGGAACATCCTAGATCCTCACGAACGATAACTCCCATGTCCTTTTCGTTTGGAGAACGCGGCAAGGGCTCAGATCCAAGTAAGTATGGATAGCGACCTCTGTGGCGCAGCGATACAACCTTGCATTTTTCAACGTTGAATTCGATGTCATTAATGAAGGACCATCGATAAGCTGCGTCGAGAGTTTCCTGCAAGGTTTCATAATCTTCAGGATATTTTACCGTAATCCATATTTTAGTGTCATCAGCGAATAGTAATTCCTTTTCTCCAAGGATATCTGGTAGGTAGTTTCTAAATGCTCGAAAAAGGTACAGAACGAGTACGGATCCTATTGGAAAGTCCACGGACAGCCTAAATCGGTCCCGACAGAGAGCCAATAACTCGAACCGATACGGTACGTTGTCGAAGAAATACCTCAATCTGGTCCAGTAGCAGTCCACGGATACCGTAATTATGGAGCTTTCTGAGCAATATATGGTAGTTAACCCTGTCAAAGCTTTAGAGAAACCTAAGTAGACTAAGTCCACTGCCTCTCCCGCGTCGACTGATCTTGTCCATTCATTTCATGCAAGTAGCAGGTTTGTGGTGCACGAGCGTTTCCTTCGAAACCCGTGTTGGGCCGGCGAAAATATGTTATGCTTCTCGAAATGATCCATCAGAGAATCAGCAACAACCGATTCCATTACTTTGACAGAACAGGAATAAGTGTAACTGAACGGTAGTTCGCAGGATCACTTCTGCAGCCACCTTTGTAAATAGGCGAACTGATGCCGTGTTTCCAGGATTGGGGGATCTTCGTCTTGTCGAACATTCTTGGGTATAAATGGGCAATCATTTCAGATATGTAATTTGCCAAGGACGTCAGGGTCTGTGGCCGGATGTTGTCTTCCTCTGGAGATGAATTCCTGCGTAGCACCAATAGTTTGTTTTTAACCGTTTCAGATTTGAACGTGACGGTTGTCAGTTGGGGGTATGGGACACTTGATAGAATAACGCTAAAAGCAGCTCGCCGATGGGAGGTTTTCGCCTCCTGAGAAGTCTCCACTCACGAGCAGCTATTTTTTCTTCACGAATGCCTACGGCGCAATCTACTTCCACGGAGTGTAAACCATATACCACCGACCAATCACCCGGAGGCCTGGAGGATTTCACACCAATTCGGAAGACACATGGTGTGCACGGTGATCT